CTCTCTCTCTCTCTCTCTCTCTCTCTCTCTCTCTCTCTCTCTCTCTCTCTCTCTCTCTCTCTCTCTCTCTCTCTCTCTCTCTCTCTCTCTCTCTCTCTCTCTCTCTCTCTCTCTCTCTCTCTCTCTCTCTCTCTCTCTCTCTCTCTCTCTCTCTCTCTCTCTCTCTCTCTCTCTCTCTCTCTCTCTCTCTCTCTCTCTCTCTCTCTCTCTCTCTCTCTCTCTCTCTCTCTCTCTCTCTCTCTCTCACTCTCTCTCTCTCTCCCTACCATTAAGTAACTTGTGCATTGTTTTACTTACTTGTTTTTTACATATCCGCCCGAACTACAAACTTTCCAGTGATGTCTGTGAGAAAGGTATATTCACTCGACAAGCTTGCGCATCTGCGCCGCCGCTCGCTCAATCCACTCAGCATGCTTTGTTTATCAGCTCGCGCACACGAGCTATACAGGCGTTAATACTGAATGTTTAACATTATATTCATTGCATACATATACTTCGTAGTAGACATCCTTAACTCCATTCTGCTGTCTGTTGTTCTGTTGTTGGTGTTTCTTTGTTTGAATATGGCGCTTATCACATGCTGTGTGGTATCGGCGTTTGGTATCGGGGCATTTTAACGAGTACGAGTACGAGTACAGGAGCTCAGTATCGTGCCCGTATCGGTGCATCCCTACTAGAAAAGCAGCAGGGAACAAGTCAGGGAGTTTAAAGAAACAAGAGAGCTAGGGTGATGATTTTAGCCGAGAAGAGTCTGGCTTTGTGTTAAACAGAAGAGACTGATATACTGTATAATTTGTGCATTTATGAGGCCTACAGACCAGACATAAGAGTAGCTTCCATCTTTGTGTAGTACACTGAAATCATAGGCTGTATATAACCATACTTAACCTTTATGTGGTTGAAATGCTCACAGGGCTTCAGAGAGAGATAGAAAGGCAGAGAACACGGTCAGAATGATCATCTGCATAAAATAAACAATAACTTTAAAATTAGCAAAAAAATTCTAAATTTAAAATATATTTTTATTTATTTAAATATAATTCAATATTAAACATTTATTTTGATATATAATAAATTATTATATTTAATTGCATTAAATATGATATAATATTTTAAACATATGATAAAAAAAATATCATAATTTCTCTTACTATTTATCAAATGTACATATACTGTATATTTAAAATGTATAATTTTGTTCAATACAATAATATTGTTCAAAAATGTCAGTTCAATGCATAACCAACATAGCAATCACTCGGCATCATGCTATAAACAAGACAAACAGCGCTCACATTGTCTGCAAAAGATGTTAAGATCTAGTCTGAACATTTGTAGAAGAGCGGCAGATGGGAGTGAAGACGGAAGGTTAAAAAAAGAAACATCTGTTTTAAGTCTTAGAACTGGTTGTGTTAACCTGAGAACTACTGGGAAACTGTCCACTTTCCACTTTTCCAAATGTAGCAATGTGTCTGATTCAATATGGAGTTCTGTTTACTAATGGACGCGCAAAGAAATCCCCCGCGGGAGGAAAGCATGGAAAAGGATGTGTGATGTAATGGAACGTGCCGCATCTTCTGTCAATCAAGCCCAGGATGGAGGGAGAACGAGGGACGAAAATAACAACAGTACTATCCCGTGCACAAACCACTAAGGAGTAAGCAAAGTGCTGGAATGAAACACATATCAGACTTTCCTGTCTCTCTCTTTTGATCTCTCTCTCTCTCTGTTGCTGTGCTCACTGGAAGTGCTCAGTGAAGACACTTTCAACAAAAGCTTCTGAAAAATTCATGCTCCAATTTCAACAAAGGAATGTCAAAAGCCATCCCATAAATCTCTCTTTAAAAACACTTCTATGTATAATTAATAGATCCAAAATGTTAATAAATGCCAAAAGGACAAAGGGCAATATTCAGTGAGTAGTGAGAGAGCTGGAAGTGGCAGGTTGTGACAGGCTTTGTGGCTCTGCCGAGAAGGGTTTGTAAAACATGACTCATGGATGTCAAAGTCTTCACTAGCGATTGCTAATTTCCCATCGAATTTGTCCCACTTTACTAATCACGCTTTAAAACAAATCCACCCAAACTGTGAAAATACAGTGAACTCCAATCCTGACCCCGTGCATTTCTGCTGCTGTCCAATAGAGGGAGGAGTTGGAACAGCTGCTGGTGAAACACATGCAAAGAGCTCAAGCCTGCATGTTTCCCAGAAATGGGTGTCGAAGCTTTGTTTATAGGATATTTAATTAAAGTGTGTGCAATGTCGAATAGAGCCAGGCTCAGCAGGGCATCACAGGAAGGCTCCAATAATCACTAGGCAAGAAACATCAGCAGTCTTTCCTAATCAACTCATTTTTTTTAAAGCAGCATATTAAGCAGCAGAATTAATAAAATACCACTTATTATATAAAAGAAAGTAAACAAGACTGCCTTGTCGCCTCTTGGGTTTATAAAATACAGACTTGTCAGATTTGATATACTCTCCCATTTATGAATTGGTTATGGTTATAATAATAATACATAGTTTCTTCCTATATATAGTTTCCTAATTAATCATCAGCTACATAGAGCCTCAGAACCTTTTTTGCTCACCTGCAGTCCAGTTTCTCCAGCTCAAAGTGCGGGTTGAAGTTTAGGACGATACGTTGGGATGGTTCGGGCGCTGTGATCACCCATCGACAGTTCTGGTGGGGTGGGTATTCCAGTGGGTAACCGGGTGTGGTGATGTATCCTGCGTCACTGGCATCCAAATGCCCACCACATGGCTCTGTAAAGACAAGAGGTGAAATATGATTCAGCTACACTCAAATGAACTTCCATGTGAAATGTGTCTAACATAGTGTATTTATATTAATTTAAATGCTACTCAATGGCCATTTTTCAGTTGTTTGAAGTGATTCAGTACACATGAATCAATATGACACAAATTATTCTAATTGAGTGAAAGGAAATAGCTGACCTCTGCTAGTCAATAAGTGAAGCAGTCATGACTTAGCAACTAAAGGCTTTTGTTCTGTGCCCCGACGTTTAATACGAATCAACACAAACTGAGAAATCAAAGAATCTGCTGTGTCCAGTGTCAAACGCGCTTGTCCCAGCTGTCATCTGGTATACAACAATATCACTGACAAGCAATCTGCAAACATTAGGACACAATCTTCAACAGTATCTTCAGAATAAAAACCACTCTATCACACATGACAAGCTATTCAGTGACAGGAAGTGTGTCTGCGTGAGGTCAAAGATCAACCCAATGCTGTGATCAGTTACAAAGATGCCTTTCTGTGTGGAAAGCACATAGATAGTGCGCTCATTCTCTCTCTCCCCTGCCTGTGTTTACCATTCTCTTCCCGAACAAGCCCTCGGCTCCCACAGCTCAAATAATTGATATGGCTCTCATTCATTATTGCTCTGATCATAGTATTGAGGCACAGCTGTTTAACCTC